CGAAGTGACCCTAGCAACCACGAGCACGAATCATCCCGCTAGCGTTTTAAATTCGACTTTTACGATAATGTCGAGGACTGACAAATGGATTTTTGATGTTACGTAAATGATATAATGGCCCTCATGACTCTTTCTGATACGGCACCAAATTCCTTTTAATGATGGTTTTGGAAATGTTCCAGTGAGTTAAAAACTTCAGAGCTAATGGAACTGGGAACATTAGAACATATTCACGACGTGTTTTATTGGAGCATTAACCTAGAGCAATTTATAATATGTGATATCGAACACTATTTCACTATCTTTATAGTTGGGCGAACGTGTTATCAACTTGCTAAACATGTAATACCACAAACGTAGGCTTACTGCTCATTCTTCCGGAGCACCTGGCCACACTCTGCATTGGAGTTGGTCAACTAGAACTCCTTTCGAAAATTCCACACAGCTAATAATGTTTATTTGGTATTCAACTCAACATCCCTTTCAGAGAGTCCACATTGTTAATAATTTTTCTGTAGGCATTTAAACTCTACAACACTTTAAGAGAGTCCACATTGCTTTTATTTTTATTTGTTAAAACCTATTTGATCTTCTACATTTCAGAGGTGCGAAAAGGTAGGCTAATAGCCTAATATGTGTTTGGTATTTAGACTTATTAACTCGACAAGCCTCTCTAGAGAGTCCACAGAGCTAATATTGTTTGTTTAGTATATAAATTCCATCGGGGAAGTAAAAGTCAATTCATAATTGCCATAGAATAATATTTCTGGAATTAACTGTCTATTAAAATCGTCCCTAAAGATTCCTTAATGTCTTCCATTGTTATACAAAGACAAAACAAAAGAGCTTAATGATGTAAAATGATAATGATGACTGAAAATTCAACAATAGCTTTTATCAAAAATAGAAATTGATTAAGTTTTTTTCTGACACAAAAACGACAACTGTAACAAGCACAATCCTCTGATCGTGTTTCACTTTATCGAAATAGATTCACACGAGGTAGGGAATTTGACCAATCAAAACAACCCTTGTCTTACCAGAGTGGTAGTACGTAATCCTATATTATTCGCAAATTCTGTGCGTGTGTTATATTTACAAAACAAAGCATAAAATGCTAGCGTGCTGATTGGCGGTTTGAAAATCACGTGACATGAATATTGGTATCCAATACGCAGCTTTCCTGCTGCAGTGAAATACGGTAGAAATGTATAAGCAAAGTTCTCCTTTAAGCAACCATGTTAGATTTCCGAGAACGTGGCTTTGTGGCTTGTTTTTCTTTTTACTGGCTTTTGTCAAAAATTATATTGTCAAAAATTTCCTGGTTGACCACAGAAAACTGTCACTGGTTTTCATCTATTTTTAATAGTTTTCACAAGGCTTGATACAAACCAGACAGATTTTGAGATACAATTGGCCTTTTGCCGACACAAGTTTTAAATAATAATAATAATAATAAACTCTTTATTTTACATGAGTCAGAATTAGGCCCAATACACAAGTCTAACATTCAGCCCATAGGGACAATATCATGAATGAATGAATGACAAAAAATACTCAATAGCTGATTTAGCCTATATGCAAATCTGGATGTCGGATCCTTACACTTGCCATCCATGATCTGACGAAATTGTTATCTTGTGTCCTGTGTCATTTAATATTCAACCAACCAAATGCTCTGTTCCCTGATTGCCTTGCTTGTTATTCATGAAGAATACCGAAAGGAGAAATTTTGAAAAATATCAAGTGAAAGGTGTGGTCTTTCACCCGTGGACACTCCAGGTTCTGCTTTAACAATTGCAAATAATGTTCTATGATGCAAGAGACTGGAATTCTTCAGAATGGCTTAATTTATTTCCTTCTGTACACAGAACAGTAATCTTGTTAACGATCCTCTCCATTGGCAGACCTATCAAGGCAAACAATTATCCATTTCATTACCGAAAGAAGAGAGCTCTCGATGGTTAACCCTGTGGCACCGCGAGTCCAATAAAACGCATTGAGAATTCCCCAGCTATTGATTAAGATATTAATGAGATTTCTGTCTATTTATCCAGTTTGTTGCTTTCAATGTGTTGAAGCCTGGGGAATAGAACTGTTTTAGTGTATGACTAAATACCACAAACTGTCAAACTGTACCAAATTGACCTTAAACAAGCATGAAATACTCTTTTTTCGTGGTATTAATAGAACATTTATTCACCCAGTTCGTTGCTCTCAATGTGTTGAATGGGAACACGGGAATGGAACTATTCCCTGTAAGACTAAATACCGTAAATTGTCCAAATGTACCAAAACTGTGGATAAAACCTTGGGCATTCTGATTTGCCAGTCCGTGAAAATTAAAAAAAAGAATGATGCCGCTATAGCATTTAAAAAAAAACACAAAAAATTGGATTGGGAAACAGGTGTCCAACTATATGATCCCTTCCCCACAGAATGCCCCCTCCCTACCATCACCACCGCCGCAAAGATAAGCTGGGTATCACCCATTAGTCTTGGCTTCATTGTATCAGTGTATCGGCTAACGAGAATACGATGTGAGACATCGTCTAGATTACGGGTCGATATTGGTGATTAGATGTTGAGAGCCAGACAAGTTCGGCTGTGGAAGGTGTCGGCAACCATCATTAACACAAATTGAACTTTACCACTCGTCAGTTAACAAGATTTCAAGAGGTCTCACAGTTTCATTGTAAATATCTCGTGACGTTAAAGGTACAAGCACTGCCTTGATGTTTGGGTTGGTTGACTTGGTTGGTTTGTACATGGCAAGATGACGCCCGCTTCCATCGGAAACTGATATCGCAAACTAGGTAGTTGTTGGTTGATGACAAGTTAACGTTCGCTTCCAGCAGATGCTGATATCGCAAACTAGTTAGTTGCTGGTTGATGACAAGTTAACGTTCGATTCCAGCGGATGCTGATATCACAAACTAGTTAGTTGGTAGATGACAAGTTAACGTTCGATTCCAGCGGATGCTGATATTGCAAACTAGTTAGTTGCTGGTTGATGACAAGTTTGCGTTCGATTCCAGCGGATGCTGATAGGTAGTTGTGGGTAGTCGTAGTAGTTGCTAGTTGGATAAACAAAGAAAGGCTCTAGCACTGCCTTGATATTCCTAAATTCAACATCGTCAAGAAGTTAAAAGAATTCGGGTTTATCCAGACAGTACAACCATAGCCAAATGGATTTTAACTAAATTTGAAGCCAGAAGTACATGTTTTTCACAATTTTCTTTGCACTTTAAGAACTTTTAGGAGACACTTTACAAGTGATATACCAACAATTTGAGCTGATAAAATTACTAATTTTGCACTTCTTTTATGTGGAACCCGACCTTTAATGTATTTAAATTCAATTGTAGACTTAATCAACGATTTCTTCAAGAGATGATTTAACACCAAATCTATTGACTTTCCTGATATTCATTCCTGGAAGTCATTCTGTCCGCCGGGAGAACCAATTCTTTACTTAAACATCCATTAATCTCCCCCATTGATTCCAGAATGTCCAATATTCACGAGTAGATAGAAGTTTTGTGTTGAAATATTGTCAATTGTTTTGTCTGTTGAGGGAATACATTGCTAAAATAAAGCAAAATCGTCTATTTGACTTGCTCTCATCTCATGCTGCCAACACGTGTTTCAGAAAAAACAATTATCGCCAGGACAGCTGTGAGTGGATAACTGGGAATGGAAATGGGGGTAAACCGTCAAATATAGGAAACAAAGGATAATCATTGCTTTTAAAGGATACACTTCTTGGTCTTTTCGGTGTAATTTTACTATATCTCATCTCATGCTATCGACATGTGTGTCAGATACACAATCCTCATCAGGACAGCTCTTTCGGAAATGAAGAGTTAGCTTTCCAAACAATACTATAAGTAAAGTACAATAAGCAAATTAACGAAACTCTCTGCATAAGATGCTGAATTGACACTCCTATTCTCAGCGTCATATCAGCAACAGAGCTGAACTATGAAAATGAAAATAGAAGAAAGGCGAGCTGTAAGAACCGAGTAAAAAATATGAATTATCTATTTTGATCAGATCGTGCTCTATATATAAAAATATTGATATTTCGTTGTCATCACGAAACGCTCGAATATCTCATTTCCCCATCACGAACTGTCCTCAATACTCAGGTTCAAATAAAACATCAAGTGATGTAATCATCTAATTATTTTTTTTACACCAAAACTGTCCTCAATATACAGGTTCAAATAATACTTCAAGTGATGTAATCATCTAATTATTTTTTACACCAAAGCTGTCCTCAATAGACAGGTTCAAATAATACTTCAAGTGATGTAATCATCTAATTATTTTTTACACCAAAGCTGTCCTCAATATACAGGTTCAAATAATACTTCCAGTGATGTAATCATCTAATTATTTTTTACACCAAAGCTGTCCTCAATATACAGGTTCAAATAATACTTCAAGGGATATAATCATCTAATTATTATTTTACACCAAAACTGTCCTCAATATACAGGTTCAAATAATGAAAAAAAAATGAAATAAAATAAAATAATTTAGATCTAGAAAATGAAAAAAAAAACCCCAAAAACCTCAATTAAATCTAGGAAATGAGATGAAATAATAATAAAAAAGAAATAAAATGTAACGACGATAGAGACATATAATTCAATATACCTTGATTATTTTTGATCACGGAAAAAACAACAAATAATAAAACATAAAATACAGTAAATAATTAATAATACTCTACGACCTACAGTTGATGATAAAACACGATACAATACCACCTGACAATTTCTTCTCGCACAAAATGGCTGAATAACTAATGACAACGAAATATGGAACGCAGGGGTGTATCTAGACAATGTCTGAGGAGAGAGGGGGGAATGAGAGGCCCCTTGAGGCCAGGATTTCAGATTGATGAATTTTGAGCATTTACATTTAGATGGATTAATTTTCACTTCAAAATAAGACTTAACACAGGCCCGAGGGGGAGGCGGCATGGCTCAATGGCTCTTCCCCTGCGTACGTCTCCACTGGAACATTGGACGAAATATCTATTTCTATCAAAAAAGGTAATGAATATATGATGTGATGACAAAAATACAGAATATTGCAAGAACAAGAACAAGAACATTTTTTAAATCAAAAAAATTAATGAATGAATAATGACAGGAAACTAAAGAAAAAAAAGAAAGAAAAGAAAGGGGGTATCCGATATTTAATCACCGGGTACGAAATATGAAATTCCGTTTCTAGGTCCTATTTTTCTGGCCAATTGGGATAATGAATATGGGCAATACCATGCAATTTGCAAAGAGGGACATTTAGTCACAACAGAGACAGTATCTATCTCACAATACCACCACGTCCCCCTAGGTCTTATAGCGAGATGTATTTTATTACTTTGTCATTGAATAATTCATCAATATTTCATTATACATTCCTCAGACATTTTCTATTGATAAATAGAGATCCGAGAGATCAGAAGAGTATTATGTAACATAAAGACTTCAATTCATTAGATAAGGTAAAGAGTTTCAGTAAGACTCAGGGATCACATTCATTTCATTATATCGACAAGGTACAGAACAGGCGGATAAAAAATTATATTTTCATTAGTCAAATAAGAAACAAAACAGTATCATTTCATTTGCTAAACAAAGTGTAGAACTATAAGATGTAGAGCTCATGTTCATTTCATTAGTTCAATAAGATACAGAACAGTAGGATATAAAACTACATTTCATTTCATTAGTCCAATAAGATACAGAACAGTAGGATATAAAACTACATTTCATTTCATTAGTTCAATAAGATACAGAAAAATAGGATATAAACTTCATTTCATTTCATTAGTCCAATAAGATACAGAACAGTAGGATATAAAACTCTATTTCATTTCATTAGTCCAATAAGATACAGAACAGTGGGATATAAACTTCATTTCATTTCATTAGTTCAATAAGATACAGAAAAATAGGATATAAACTTCATTTCATTTCATTAGTCCAATAAGATACAGAACAGTAGGATATAAAACTCTATTTCATTTCATTAGTCCAATAAGATACAGAACAGTAGGATATAAAACTCTATTTCATTTCATTAGTCCAATAAGATACAGAACAGTGGGATATAAACTTCATTTCATTTCATTAGTTCAATAAGATACAGAAAAATTGGATATTAACTTCATTTGATTTCATCAGTCCAATAAGATACAGAACAGTAGGATATAAGACTCTGTTTCATTTCATTAGTCCAATAAGACACAGAACAGTAGGATATAAAAAACTCCGTTTCATTTCATTAGTCCAATAAGATACAGAACAGTAAGATATAAAACTCTATTTCATTTTATTCGTCCAATAAGATACAGAATAGTAGGATATAAAACTCCATTTCATTTCATTAGTCCAATAAGATACAGAACAGTAGGATATAAAACTCCATTTCATTTCATTAGTCTAATAAGGCACAGAACAGTAGGATATAAAACTCCATTTCATTTCAGTAGTCCAATAAGGTACAAACAGTAGGATATAAAACTCAATCTCATTTCATTAGTCTAATAAGATTCAGAACAGTAGGATATAAAACTCAATTTCATTTCATTAGTCTAATAAGATTCAGAACACTAGGATATAAAACTCAATTTCATTCGTTTGGTCCAATAGGATACAAAAAAGCACAGAAAACCCAATAAGATACAGAACAGTAGGATATAAAACTTCATTTCATTTATTCATTTTGTAAAGTAAGAAGACACGTTTCACTATGTGTTAATGGGTTTCACGCGAACGAACACCTTTTTATTTGATGTATAATTTTTTTCCAGGAAACCTATTAAGTTTCTATTACATTATTATTGATTTCTGAATATTTATTTCATGAGAGACAAGATGTCAGTTCTTTGTTTTACATATTGATTAAGTTTTATACTTGATATTTTTAATAAATGTAGATCACAAGTCGATATCTAAGGCATCAAGTCGTCTTATTGTAAACCTCCTGCATCACTTTTCAAAGTGGAAATTTGACTTTGAGTTCGTCTTCTATTGTTGGTTTTGTCAACTGATACAACTCTTTGTGCGTTACCAAACCCTTATCATTTTCCATAATAAAAAAATAGCTTTGATTTGTTACAAATTGATACAACACTATGTTAAATAACCATATCTGTATCTCTTTTGAAAATGGAAATTTGGATTTGAGTTCGTCTACAATTGTTTGTGTCGTCAACTAATACAACTCTATGTTAGCTAACAGTATCCGTATCTCTGTTGAAAATGGAAATTTGGATTTGAGTTCGTCTACAATTGTTTGTGTCGTCAAGTTATAAAACTCTATGTTAGCTAATCATATCCGTATCTCTTTTAACAATGGCACTTTGGATTAGAGTTCGTCTACAATCATTTGTATTACGAACTGATAACTACGTTAGACTCCTGTTACTATATAAAATAGAATAAACCACGCATCCCATTGTGTACGGACTCGTACTTCGCTATTGTTTTTTTTTCTATTGTATACCTCGCCAATTCCCACTTTAAACAAATTTTATCAGCCTCTTCAGTGAGAAAAGACGGTGATTAATAGAATAAAACTACTTTGTCTTACACAAATCAAATGATCTTATTTGGACACTAAGGCCGTGTTCACATACATTCAGTTCCTGGGTCGTGTTCACAAACAATCCGTTCCCTAAGGTAATGTTAACATAGTTACAATCCGTTCCCTAAAGACCGTGTTCACATACAACTCGTTCCCTAAGGTAATGTCCACATAGTTGTAATCCGTTCCCTAAGGTCGTGTTCACAAACAACTCGTTCCCTAAGGTCGTGTTCACAAACAATCCGTTCACAAACAATCTGTTTCAGAAGGTCGTGGTTCCAAATCCTCAGAAATTAGTGTGCATGTAATTAAGAAATAGTACAGAGCTATTTAAAATCAAGAGAAAACTGTAGTGTGAACATGGCTTAAACTGAGAATTTATAGAAAGGGTAGACGGAATTCTATGGCTGGTTTTATTGAGATCGATTTCTCTTTCTAAGAATTAGACAATTTGTTTGATGGAAGGCGGCGACAAAGCCATCATCTTTGTGTAATTGAAGTCGGTTTCTTCAGAAACTTTGTCCGGAACAAGGAAATACATCAAGTAGTGGAGTAATTATTTTGACTGTTTGGCCCTTGAGACGACTCGCTTTCACATTAATTCTAAAGGCGGTGGTATAAACAGACGCTATTAGCACCGACGTTCAATTTCTTGCTCCGTCAATCCGTCAGTTTCAGTAATATGTGAAATGAAAAATGAAAAGAAGGAATACAGATAATAAGATTGTGAGAACAGTAGGTCGCACTACTACAGAATTTTTGCACGGGGCGCAACTGACGAAATTCGTCACTCAAACACTCTTCCCATAAAATATCACTGCTTTTCCTTTCAGGTTATCTAATCATTTCTAATTATAGAGTGTTACCAACTAGTGACAGTACAACAAGTACAAGAAGAGACCGGAAGTGACGACATTAACACTAGGTCTAAACGACAGATTGATCCTCGCCTACCAGATCATCTAGAGTTCACACTACAATCAGAGACTTCGTCGTCGAGAACTACTCTGAAACTCAGCAGACTGCCAGAGATTCCAACCTATGTCTTTACTGACTCCGGGTTGGAGAAACATTCCGGAGAGTTAGAGGTGAGTTTAATGGAATTGCAAGAACCACAGACGTCAGATTGAAAATGGGAATGGTGCATATCGATGCTATCGATATACCTAAAATGTGTAGAAAGCCTCTTTACAATCCCTTTCATAAGACGTTCAATTGTACCGTTTTGAAAGGCTGAAATTAATTTGCCTTTCATCTATTTCAAATTTTCTGATGAACTCATCCACACACGCATACTCCCAATCAAGACGAAACTGTACACTAATGATTGGAAGAGCTCATTTTTTTAATATTAGGGGTGTTTCGTATTTATCAATCAGACCACTAGATTTCTAAGTTTCCCCCACTTCCTCCGGTTTAATTCACCAACCGATCGGATTACTGTACTTCCGGTGAAGCTCCATCTTAGATAAGTCTTATTCCCATTTGGGGTATTATTATCTCCAGTATTAATAAGACTTCTGATATTTCCGGCAACCATATTTCGGAAGTATTTTATTATGCCGGAAATGATATCTGTAATTTCAGCAAACTTAATTTAATCGTAATTAGGATATAATTGACAATTGATAACAGAATAAATCACTGTTTTCATTGCACATAGTGCTCAATTTCAGTTAAAAACCGTATCATTATTTATTAGGACTTGAATGTATTCAATATTCGCCAATACAAAGGGGTTGAAAGCTGGCAATGGCGACTCTCGGCTGTATTTCTTATCTTGGTGGGATTCGAACCCAGAGCGCCTAATTGCAATTGGTGTAACTCACAGATCGGGGTTATTATTCTCCATATCTTATTTTAGAACAAAGCAGTGTATTCTGTAGAAGATGATAAAATTGGTGTTATTCAAGTCAAAAGGACTAACAACTCTACTTCTGATAGTGCCAACAGTTTTGAACTGGTAATTGATATTTACATACTTTGATTCAAACGAAGATGATTCAACAGGATT